CGCACTCTCCCGAGTGAGCCACGAGCCGGCCCCTACCCACTTACTTTTCCTTCCTGCATTTCACAGCTGCCTTGAAGGATCACTTTCTGTCTTCCTGAAGTACCCTCTTTTATGGGGATCTGCTAGTTATAAACTATTTATCTGAAAACATCTGCATTCCTGAAAGCCCTAATTCAGACAAAGTTTTTCACAGTTCTACATGGACTTACTCCAGTGGCTCTGCAGAGCTTGTTGGCACAAGGGCTATTTCCTGCCCCTGCCCTGCCTGCCCTCCCCGGAGACCAGCCCATCACCTGTTCTGCTGCCTCCTGTGGTCACATTTCCAAGTCTGTGTACAGCTCTCCTGTTGGCACTTCTTCATAGCCCGCCTGTAGCATTACCTGTCTGTGTCCCTCTGAAGATGAGAACTCTCCTTCGCTCCTATGCCCGTCCACACACGCCTGCACCTCCCTAGTCCCCAGTGTGTTTATCTTCCTCATGCAATTTTTTATTCCCCCGGAAGTAATGTCATATTTTTTGCTACGCCGAGCTTTCTGTGTATTTATCATTGATTCAGCCCCAACCCCGTGCTGACTAAATCTCCTCTGAAATTGAGAAGAGTGTTTCTCAACTCGTCTCCTCTCTTCTGGAGCTTTCTGGCCTGCTGAGACTGGGTGCACTGCTGTGACCCCACAGTCTCTGCGCCTTTCTCTAAAGCTGGATCTATACTGTGGTTTCTCTTCCTGACTTTGTTCTATCACTCAGTTGAGCAAATCCTTCAGGAGCTCCCTGAAAAGAGAACTGAGGTAAAAATGTTGAGACTTTGTATATCTGAAAATGTCCTTATGTGAGCCTCACGCCTGAGTGAGGATCTGGCTGGACTTGAATTCCAGGCTGGAAACTCTGAAGCAACTGGCCAAGCCCTGCTGTTAGGCAGCTGGTGTTTCCTGGTCCCTGGTGTCCCCCGAGCGTGCCCTTCCTCGCTCTCTCCGCTCTGAAACTTCACCATGAGCTACGTTGGTGGGGGCTATTTCTATCCACTGTGCTAGGTGCCCCGTGAGTCCTTTCAACCTAAAAATTGTTCTCTTGAATTAAAAAAAAACTTTAAACAGACTTTACTTTTTTTAGAGCAGTTTTAAGTTCACAGCAAAATTGAGTGGAAGGTACAAAGATTTCTCCCATCTGTCCTGTCCACATCTCCCAGCAGATGCGGTCCATTTGTTACAGTCCATGAAGCTCTGTCGCTATGCCAGTGCCACCCACAGTCCACAGCTTACACTGGGGCTCACTCTTGGTGTCGTACACTTTACAGGTGTGGCCAAATGTACAATGATGTATATCCGCTAGTACCACACAGAGAAGTTTCACTGCCATAAAATTCCACTTTGTCTGTTCAACCTTCCCCCAGTCTTCACAGTTTTGCCTTTTCCAGAATGCCACATAGCTGGAGTCACATGGTCCTCTTCAGATTGGCCCTTTCACTTAGGAACGTGCACTTAAGCTTCCTCCATGTCTTCACAGCCTGTTTCTTTTTAGCGCTGAATCATATTCCACTGTCTGGATGCACCACAGTTCACCTGTCCATTCACCTACCCAAGGACATCTTGGCTGCCTTTTTTCTTGAATTTTCATTGATGTTTTTCTTTTTCCTATGTTCTCTCCTCTTTGTAATTTCTATTATTTGGATATTGGACCCCTTAGAGTGACCCTCTAATTTTTTCCCACATTACCACCTGTCATTTTGCTCTACTTTCTGAGATTTTCCCTTAATTTTATCTTCTAAACCTTCCTTTGAATTTATTTTTGCTTTTGTTTTCTTAATTCTTAAGAACCTTCTTTGCCCTTGAATGTCCCTTGCCACAGACTCACACTCTTATCTCATGGTCACAATTTCTTTTCTTGGCTTTTGGGAGGAAGGTTCTTTTTCAGGTCTCCTTGGTCATTCTGCGCATCCTCTGGACTCTCGCTCACATTCAAACCTCTTCCATTTCTTTAAAGTATCACTCGCTCTGATTTTGTGAATGGTGATTCTGAAAATCTGAAGTCCTAATAGGTCAGACTCTGATATTTGTGCAGTCTGCTGCTGGCTCCCTCTCATGGGGTTTTGTCTCCTATGTTTTCTGATTTTTTTACTGGCAGCTCGTTTCTTAGAACCTTACCTGTGGGACCTCTCGGAGGCTGGACTGAAGTTGAACTCGTCAGAAAGTGTCTGACGTGCCTGCTAGCTGCCTGGCACACCATCAGCCAGGGACACCTTAAGAAAATAAACTCAATATTTTCTGGACTCACACAGATGATTCTGAGGGCAAATCCATGTTGAGGCCAACTTGTGCTTATAAATACTAGGGGACAGTTTCCCCCTCCGCCCAGCACTGTTTTAGGCAGGGATCTCCTATTAGAGGGCCATCTCCAGTGTTCCACTCCCCATCACCAAAAAAACAGCGACCAGAAGTGAAGCACAAACCCGCCAGGGCTTGGCAAGTGTCCTCAGGGAAAAAGACAGCTGCAGAGCTTGGTTCCCTCCCC